AAAAGTCAAATCAATACTCTCTCCATTCTTGTTTCTATTATAATGTATTATAATACAATAAAAGATATACGGAAGATCTCTGACTGGCTTTGTGTACTTTACAGCAGTGTTTATTATTGTAAAAGCAGTGTTTTATTGTTTTTAAATAAGCATTTTTTTCACCTCTTCTTGAATCATTATTAAAACTTATTTTTAAAACCTTAAGCACTAAGAATATATGGAGTGACATGAACATTACTCTTTTTCTCACAAATCTATCCTTAATCGCCTTTGTTTATACACTTAAAATGTCCCTTTCTTCAAACTAACATCATTATTATAACAAGATGTCACCTTAGAATTATAAGGTTCTATCTGACATTTCTGTCACAATTACGTTATTGATATATTCTTATTAAATGACAACTTATTTACATTATGGTATGTTTTAATATGTTGTTTACATTTTAAGACTTTTTATTTTTTTAAAAAATGTTACACACATACTGTTTGCTATATGGAATGAAAAAAACTTTGAAGTAGGTAAAGTGTATTTATAAAGCACATTTAACTTCAGTTTGGCACTGACCAAAGTGTTGCACAAAACCATAGCACACATTATAAACCGAAAAATAACAAAAAAGTCATAATAAGAATAGTAGTATGACAGCAACAATGCGCAATACAGATTAGAAGCCTGGGAAGGCAATAGAATAAAAATGTGTATTAAAAATAGAGAGAGAAGAAGCACTCGTAATGTCTGGTGGCAGCTGGTTCCACAAACAGAGCAGCGACTGCAAAAAAAATCTCCTTTCAGTTTAAGTCGTGACCGAGGAATTTGTAGTAAAATTTTATTCGATGACCTAAGGGACCGAGGAGTTGACTGTAGGTTAATAAGTTCAGATATATAAGAAGGTGCTTGCCCATTCAATGCTTTAAAACAATAAGTAATGTTAACAAGAAGCCAATGAAGGGATGCTAAAACTGGTAAGATATGAGTATGAGATTGAGAATGAAGCTCAATATCTCAAAATTATTCAGAATGCAGATAGAACCTCATAATTCCAAGGTGACAATATCACTGTTATCTCGAGTAACTGAGATTACCCAGTATGATCCTACAATTAATGAATAACTGTGAAATAGTATTACTTTTGTTATTGCCATATCAAAAACAATAATTATTTTCCTGACTAAATAAAAAGTATATTTTAAAGCAACAAACAATAGGCCATGAGGCTGTTTACAACACTGCGAAAACAATTACAGTATAAAAGATCATTTAATTTGATATTGGCAATATATTATTATTTTGTTATCTGAAACAGTTGTGTGCTGTAAACAGATCATGTGACCTCTTTAAGTAGATAAACTTATATAGGATGTTTCATCTCTGTTTATATTATTATATTTGTTTCACATTTAAAAAACCAACACACACACACACACACACACACACACAGTGAATTCATGGTTCACATTTGCGATATGACGATATGAAGTAAGACACAATATTTGATAGTCTCTCTTTTCAAAAATTGTAATGGCAGACCTGTTTTACTTATAAACTTTCTGTACTCGATCTAAAAAGAAAATAAATAAATCCCAAGCCCAACTAGACAGTCTGGCTAACAAACAGACATTACAATTAAGCTACTGGTTCCAGAACAGAAATTAATCTTCAACATTAAACAGCATGTATAGCTACAGATGAGCTGCTCCTGTTTCAACAACGGCTGTCATCCTCATGAATTTACCTGCGTTCAGCTCAATACTAATGCGCTATTTTCTTGCGCAGTAAATGTGAGCGTTAAGTAATGTACCACCACTCAGTGCAAAGCTTCCCTTCACGGGTCATGTCTCAGCATAATGAGATCACACAAGTGTGCTTAGTTTTAAACGTTATAAAAGTTATAAAAGTCTCCCTCACAAACACAATAATAAAGCACTTTGACACATAAACTGATTGATTGATTGATTGATTGATTGATTGATTGATTGATTGATTGATTGATACTTATGGACAGAGATAGATAGATAGATAGATAGATAGATAGATAGATAGATAGATAGACAGACAGACAGACAGACAGACAGACAGACAGACAGACAGACAGACAGACAGACAGACAGACAGACAGACAGACAGACAGACAGACAGACAGACAGACAGACAGACAGACAGACAGACAGACAGACAGACAGACAGACAGACAGACAGATAGATAGATAGATAGATAGATAGATAGATAGATAGATAGATAGATAGATAGATAGATAGATAGATAGATAGATAGATAGATACTTTTTTGAAGCAATCAACTGCACTAGTTCCACAGCAAACCAGCAAAGATTTGATCTTAACATATTACAATTGTGTGCGACTGTACAAGATCATAAAATCATCCATGCGCCAACACATCTTATGCCCAGACAGAAGTAACAAAAGAACAAAGGGTCTGACCAAACCAGGTCAAAACAGTAAGAGTGTGAGCGACGGTTGCAGATTCCAGACCAAAAGAGTGAGGCAGAAAGACAGACTCAGAGTCGGCTGAGGGACTCTTCTCTCTCCCGCTCACCGAGTCGCAGCACGGCTCTTTGTCTACGTCTGTCACATTGAACTGTTTTCTTTGGTCTGCTCTGACTCGTTCTCCCATGAGACCTGATGGCTCATTGGTCTTGCTCCTTTGTGCTAGCCTAAGAGCATCACTCCTTTCCTGCAGCTTGTCAATACTGTGATCAATGCTAGCGCACAGCCAAGTCCTGTGACTGGCGTATCTCTTTGCAACGCGTCGGATGCCCTGTTAATCAAGTGATGTTTATGAATTGCTCATGCATTATGAATCTCATCAACAGTGAAGTTGACGATAAATAATAAAAAGGTATTTACTGGATATCAAAACATTTTTCTCGACCCCCATGATGCACATGCACTGTACTTTTGTAGTAAAATAAGGAGGTTTTTTAAAGTGTAAAAAAAATGTAGACATGCACACACATTACTTTAAATCAGCCAAGCAGCAGAAAAGTGCAAAATATATATTCATAAAGGCGGTAACACCAAAGCTCCAAAAATATCAATTTATTAAATTAAAAAGGCTAATACAAGGCCTTATATCAGCCTTTTTAATTTAATAAATTGACACTTTATGAGCTTCGGTGATGCAGCCTTTATGAATATATGTTTTAAAAAATGTACAAATTCTACAAAGATTACCAAATAAGGTTCTACAAAATAAAATGTCTCACCATTCCACTATTAATTCTAAATTAATTGCTTTTGGTTTCCAAAAAAAAAAAAACATTATTTCTACTCATCATCATAACTAAAATCAATAGGTTTCAATTTTTTACCATTTCAGTTCATTCTTAACCTCTGACAGCTCATCCAGTCAAAAAAAGAGAAAATGGATAAAAACATTGTTTAATAATAATAATAATAATAATAATAATAATAATAATAATAATAATAATAACAAGAAGAAGAAGAAGAAGAAGAAGAAGAAGATGATGAAGAAGAAGATTTAACCATGTAAAATACTTCAGTTCAGTTTTCAGCAATATACAGTTGAAGTCAGAAGTCAGAATTATTAGCCCCCTTTTTATTTTCCCCAAATTTCTGTTTAACAGAGAAAATATTTTTTTTCCAACACAATTAAAAACATAATAGTTTTAATAACTCCTTTCTAATAACAGATTTATTTTATCTTTGCCATGATGACAGTAAATAATATTTGACTAGATATTTATAAAGATAATTTTATACAGCTTAAAGTGACATTTAAAGGGCTTAACTAGGTTAATTAGGTTAACTAGGCAGGTTAGCATAATTAGGTAAGTTATTGTTTAACGATGGTTTGTCCTATATTGAAAATAAAAGTAGCTTAAAGGGGCTAATAATTTTGACCTTAAAATGGCTTTTGAAAAATTAAAACCTGCTTAAAAAGAAAATATATTATCAGGCATACTGTGAAAATTTCCTTGCTCTGTTAACATTATTTGGGAAATATTTAAAAAAGAAAAAAATCCAAGGGGGTTTAATAATTTTGATTTCCACTTGTTCCTCAAATAAACAACTGTAACCTTGTCAGGTTTCCATATATTATATAAATGCAAAAAAACTAACCATAAAAAATAAAGCAGTTCTTAATGATACAACATGTTGTGTGATGGAATGTAGTAAAACGCAGCCCAAAAGCCAACGGACCACCTGAGTGTCTGTCGTACTTAAGCACAGCAAGAGATGTGAATTCAGTGCCGGAGATGAAGTCGAGCCGACAGCATCCATCAGACGCGCTTTCAGGCAGAGCAGCGCAGGTATTGTCTTGCTCTGGCAGCCAGATTAACTTCCCTATCGATGCGATCTACAAGAACATCTCCAGATAAACAACAAGAAACAACTCGGCGCTCTTCTAGCGCTATCAAGCGTCTGATGACTAGAGGTAAGTCTGAGACTAACACACTCACATTAAAAAGCAATAATTGGATAATTGGCCTACATATTTCCCGAAGGCAACTGATATTGTCGAAATCACGTTAAACTAAAACTGACGACAATACAATAAAAACTGATTTAAAACAATTTAGGCCAGCAAACCCTGGGGGTTTAAAGCAATAAAGTGTGTTACGATACGGAACATGATACACAATTACTTTGCTCAGATATTAATGCCATATATATATGTCTTGCGAGAAATAAAGAAGCGTCCACTTCTCGCGCGAAGCTCCTGAAGAATGTAGCACACTCACTCACTCGCTCACTGACTGACTGACTGTAGTGTGCGCTTTATTCTCGGGCATGAGCTCAGGACAACATGAAGACACAAATAAGACAGCAGTGCTAAAAACAAACGCTTTCCCCCTGCTGTGTGGCCAAAGTGCAGCAGCAGCGCTGAATGTGGCACAGGCTGTACGGATGTGCCGGAGCACAGAGTGAAGTAGTTCAGTTCAGCACCAGCACAAAGGACAGCTCCACTGCATCAAGATAGAGATCTCACTTCAGCCCTCACTGAGCGACTCACCTCCGACACAGCAGAGCAAGGTGTAAACAAGCAACAGGATCTCCAGGCGGCGCGTCCCCGACCGAAACCCTTCCAGCCACCACATCGTGATAAACTGACTGTTTACGCCCCGACGGCACGGACGCGATTTTTATATCGCTACGCTTGTCCACATTTTCAGCTCTTGCAACGGACCAGCTGTTCGCGCATGACGTAATAGTGAAGAGGCTATTCCGAGAAAGCCCCGCCCTGCCTGTGCTGTGATTGGAGAGTCGCCACACATCCATTCAACTGATTGGCGGAAGGGAACGTCAGTCAGGGGACCGTCGTGTCGCTCGGTCCTGGTAGGAGACATGAGCGGTTTGTCCGACAAATGAGCAGCATTTTCAAGTTTACTTCCTCAGGAAGCAAGTTGTAGCGATGCCCTGACATGTCCTTTTCCCCCGTCACATGTTTTTGTTTTTTAATCACTGAAATGTATTACATCGGTTATTTGATGACCTCATTTATTCGAGAAATGTGCTGATCACTAGCCATATATATGTTTGTTTTGTAAGTAGACCTACAACGTAAATGCTGTTTTTTTATCACTTTAAACGGAATCAGGGAATAAAGACTGTTTTATAGTGATAAAATAAGTTTACTTTTAATATAATATTCATTAGATCTAATAGAACCAGATTGTGTCGGAGATGGAGGGCAATACTGCCATCTATCGGCCGCTGACTGACACAATATTTCAACAAGAAGGTTTCATCGAGGAATTTTAGACTAAGCCATTTGAACCACTAAAAGCACTTCTTAACTTGTGATTAACATTTTTAAAGTGCCCTATATGTCCCCAATGTGATAAGAAACATCCAACAAACCCAACATACATTAGTGTTTTGGGGTGCTTGACTAGTTTAACAACAAGACACACTCCAAAGAACCAGCTGTTCAGGCCTAAATGCTAATTCTAGATCTGCAGTTCTCAGTCATTTTATGAAAATGTCCCTATAGTGTCCACAGTCCTCTTTTAAGGCCCTAAGATGCCTGATGAACGGGGTGGTTCTTTTTTTCTCAAAAAGTGGACCTTTTTGCAGTTATACGCCTAATTTTTTATCCAATAATAAGAGTTAAATTCTGCATTTAAGTGACATTTTAAGCTGTTGCGATTTTTTTTATTTTTTGCTGGATTAGCTAGTCGGATGATCATCATAAAAACACTTATTAATGAACCAAACAATTTCCTGAAAATTTAGAAAAAAGAAATATAAATAAATACTTATTTTCATTCGTTTTTTTTTTTGGCTTAGTCCCTTTATTAATCTGGGGTCGACACAGCAGAAAGAACCACAAACTTATCACTTGGAAACACTCATAAGCAATCATCTACTACAGATAATTTTAAGCTTACCCAATTCCCCTGTAGCACATGTTTTTGGACTTGTGGGGGAAACCAGAGCACCTGGAGGAAACCCACATGAACACTGGGAGAACATGCACACTCCACACAGAAATGCCAACTGACCCAGCCGAGGCTTGAACCATCAGCCTTCTTTCTGTGAGGCGATTGTGCTACCTATTGTGCCACGATGCTGCCCAAATTCATTACATCATATATCATTAGAAAAAAAAGGAATTTGTTAAAGTTTTAAATTAAAAACTGTAGTCTATAGGCAAATAACACCCTGGCCAGCACATTCAACTTTTCTCAGTCAGAATTGGGTCATTTCAATAAAAATAATTAAAACATAATAATAATAATAATAATAATAATAATAATAATAATAATAATAATAATAATAATAATAATAATAATAATAATAATAATAATAATAATAGAGGCAACACAGTGGCGCAGTGGGTGGCATGATTGCCTCACAGCAAGAAGGTTGCTGGTTCGAGCCTCGGCTGAATCAATTGGCATTTCTGTGTGGAGTTTGCATTTTCTCCCAGTTTGCATGGGTTTCCTCTGCGTGCTTCGGTTTCCCCCACAAATTCAAAGACATGCAGTACAGGTGAATTGGGTTAGCCAAATGGGCTGTAGTGAATGAGTGTGAATGCAAGAATGTATGGGTGTTTCCCAGTGATAAGTTGCAGCTGAAAGGGTGCTATGTAAATCTCATGCTGGATAAGTTGGCAGTTCATTCCGCTGTGGCAACCCCTGATAAATAAAGCCAAAAAGAAAATGAATGAAAAATTATGATGATGATGTTGATGATGATGGTGATGTTAAACGTAATTTTTTTAGCCTCTTTTGTAAATAAAAAGTACATTTGAAAGTTCATGGATAACAGCAATAGCCAAAATAGCATTCAATTTAATTTGATATGGGCCGCTTGTGGTGCTTCACACCTCTTTACTGGTCATTCTTGTTTCAAGAATAAGCTCCAAGATTTACAATAAAGTTATTTGTAAAATGTTTTCTCTATTTAAAAACAATAAAAATAACGAAAGATGACTGCTTTTATATTAGATTATAAAATTAAAACATTTGTTTGTATTGGCCAAAACTGATTAGCTAAAGTCACACGGAAGCAACAGCCAACAGAGGATTCTGCTTTGTCTTAAAGCCTTTTTTGATGAGTTATTCTCACCATGATGTCATAGCAGTCAAAATAGAACAAATGAGCTCATGTATGAGACGAATTCTGAAACTTTGTCAGTAAGGGGTCTGTCCCTCTGGCTACAGGCCTGATGCAAATAAATGGATAAAAAATAAAATTCTAATTTACTTATTGGTTCATAGGGTAGGCACAGTGTTGCTGTATATTAACTAACATTGCTGCAAATTCACCATATTGATCCCAAAGGCTATTTTTCATCCGATATCCCCTGAAAGATGATAAATTCATTCATTCATTTTCTTTTCGGCTTAGTCCCTTATCTATTCTGGGTTCATCACAGCGGAATGAACCGCTAACTTATCCAGGATATGTTTTACGCAGCGGATGCCCTTCCAGCTGCAACCTATCTCTGGGAAACATCCATACACACTCATTCAAACATATACACAACGGACAATTTAGCCTAGCCAATTCATCTGTACCGCATGTATTTGTACTTGTGGGGGAAACCGGAGCACCCGGAGGAAACCCATGCGAACACAGTAAGAACATGCAAACTCCACACAGAAATGCCAACTGACCCAGCAGAGGCTCGAACCAGTGACAGATAATGATGATAAAACTTTCTCCCTAAAAAACAATTAAAAAAGCAACTGTAAAAGAGCACTACAATGGATATAGGTGTCCTGATACTGTATATTGACAAAACCAAACTATAATACCATTCCTTCATTCATTTTCCTTCAGCTTAGTCTCTTATTTATCAGGGCCCGCCACAGCAGAATAAACTGACAACTATTCCGGGAAAAGTTTTATGCAGAGGATGCCTTTCCAGAAGCAACCCAGTACAGTAAAACACCCATGCACTGTCATTCACACTCAAACTCATATATGGCTAATTTATTTTTATTTAATACACCTTTAGGCCATGTCTCTGAATTTTGGGAGAAACCAGAGCACTCAGAAGATACCCACGTGAACACAGGGAGAACATGCAAACTCCACACAGAAATGCCAACTGACCAAGCCAAGACTTGAACGAGCGACCTTCTTGCTGTGAGGCGACAGTGACCACTGAGCCACCATGCCGCCCACTATCATACCAATATTATGTAAAATAAACAGTTGGATAAAATTCAAGAATACAGTACCAAAATGATTGAATCATTTAATTAATTATTGTTACATAATTCTATTTTTCACTTACTCTACTGAATTCTTACAGTCTTAAAAATAAACAAATATTTTTACTCAATGTCAACAAAAAAGGAAAATTTATCTTATAGTATTGTGCGGCGTATTTAAGATTTTCTTGAGTCTATCTGGTTAATCGGTGTAACAAACCTTGCATCCGAACGACATCCTCAAGCACTTCTAGTCAGATCCCTGCGTGCAATGCTCGATTTTCCCGCGAGATGTCGCTCTCACCACACCACTGGTCGGTAGTACAAAGTACACCGCTTTTCTCCATTTAATGTCGGCCTAATGATGTAGCGAAGAATTCTAAACATTTAAAGCAGATTAGTATTGGGAATTTTGTATTATAATTAGCGCAGGATAATAAACGTGCCCCATAAACAGTAAAGCATTAAACTAGCTCTCCTGCTCTTTCTTATCCCGGTGAAATCCTTTTAAGGAAGTTTAATGATCTTCATGTGGCTGTAGTTCGTTTTCAACAAAAAGATAAACAAGCCAGTTATCCTAAAACAAATGTGGGCCACTTTTGGCGAATATTCGACACAGTAAGCTCTGGTTAATGTGGATTTGAGCCTATATACTGGCCCAGAGAAGATATGGCAAATGTGGCCCAGTTTTCCTAAAACATATGTGGACCACATAGACTAAAGTCACCATCATGAAGAAAAGTTTGCTTTAGTTGGGCTCATAGCCCTGAATCTCTTAACCTAAACTTTCTTTTGTGCTGCTGGAACTTTTAAGAACTTTGCTTGAAACGTTTATTCATTACAGCATACAAGCCAAATAAAAAAAAAAAAAAAATATATATATATATATATATATATATATATATATGTATATATTAAGTGAGGCACAACCTGTGATGAAATAATGTAATTTACTGATGTTCACCAATGTTTATCCAATATTAGAAGTAATATTATTAGCTAAAAAAATTCTATGGTTCAATTTCTGCTCACGAAGACATCAATAATCAGCGTATGAACCTCAACAGCGGTGACAATTAACAAATTGAACAAAAATCACAAACAGGAGACTAAAAGTGACAAAATCAACAACGTCAACATAAATGGAGGATCAATAAGCTATAGATTGTATTCATACTGCAATGCATGCTGGGATTTTTGTACTTTGCCACACCCAGCAAGTGTAAGGTGTCGGCCAGATCTGGGCCAGAATAAAAGCAAACTGTGACCCAGAATAGGGTCAGTTCTGGTTAATGTAGTTGAATTCTGGCTGATATTTTGTATTGCTTTGGCTTATTTGTGGCCCAGATCTGATAAACAGGAGTGGACCACCCTAGAGCCATCATTCCATTTAGTATGTGGTCCAGATGTAAGTGTCTGGTGTGGGCAGATCTGGGCCAGAATAAAAGCAAACTGTGGCCCAGAATAGAGAAAGTTCTGGTTCATTTGGTTGAATTCTGGCTAATGTGTGATATTGCTTTGGCTTATTTGTGGCCCAGATCTGATAAACAG